ACCCAGAGACCCCAGCCTGCGCTGTCAGACCCTCGGGAACCAGGGCCCCTTCACGCTCGCCCCTGCAGACATCCTGGCTGTGGAGAAGGAGGTGGCGCAGAGCCTGCTGGACGCCAAGGAGCGCACGCACCAGGGTGGCGCCGAGCTGCAGCAGCTGGAGGCCGAGCTGCACCGGGCGGCCGCCGAGGATGGGCAGCTGCAGGCCGACCTGCTATATCCTTGCTGAGCGTGTGTGAGTGGGCGCGGGGCAGCCCCCCAGCTCCTTCCTAAAGCCCCGGTCCTTAACTCCCCGGCCACCCAGCTCAGCCAGCAGCTGCAGGAGCTCCAGGAGCTGGAGGCCGAGCTACGCAGGCAGGAGCAAGAGGTGGACGAGGACCGCACCGTGGCCATCCCGTCGGCCGTGTAGGTGCTGCGAGTGCGCGCTGGTGACGGGGCCGAGCCGGGGAGCCCTGCAGCGCCGTGACCGTGCACGCTCGCTCTCTCGTGTCTTCCCGTGCAGGTACGTGGCCCAGCTCTACCGCCAAAGTAGCAAGATTGAGTGGGATTATGAATGCGAGCCGGGAGTGATCAAAGGCAGTATCCTTTGGCAGGGCGCTGCTGGCGGGGCCCTGGGGTGCTGTGTGCAGGAGGGGTGCGGTGCTGGCGGGGCCCTGGGGTGCTGTGTGCAGGAGGGGTGCAGCTCCTGGCAGGGCCCTGGGGTGCTGTGTGCAGGAGGGGTGCGCTCCTGGTGGGGCCCTGGGGTGCTGTGTGCAGGAGGGGTGCAATGCTGGACCAGCCCTGGCCAGCACTGGACACTGTAGTCTCAGGGCCATAGTGCAGTGTGTCTGGCTGCTGCCCAGGACAGCCACCTGCTTGTCTCCCTGCTGGAGTGAGCCCAGGGCTGGCTGGCTCCAGGCTGGGGTGGGGTGGGGTGGCCGAGGGGGTGGGGGGCGCCATGCCGGCCTGGTGGTCTTCCTTACCTGAGCCCCCCAGTTCATTACGGCCCCAGCGTGGCGCAGCCCATCCACTTGAATAGCGCGCAGCTGTCCAAGAAATTCATCTGTGACTACCTGTGGGGCTTGGTGGACACCGCGTGGTAGCCGTGGCACGGGCGCACCTCGTGGCAGCCGTGGCGCGGGCGCACCTCGTGGCAGCCGTGGCGTGGGCGCGGGTCCAATGACGCGCACGCCCTCCCCGGCTTGTCACCAGCTTCCTTTGTCTGTCACCCCGAAAGTGCCTAGGCCACGTGACATTACGGGGAGCTGGAAAAGGCGGGGTGCCCCACACCCCAGGCCCCCTCAGTGCCACCCCCCAGCGTCTGTGTGGGGGGCCTGCACACGTGTCCCAGCCTCCCTTGCCGACCCACCTGGCGGCAGCTGTTCAGTCTATAAATGCACCTGTCATGTGAGACTTCTAGAAGTCCTTGAAAGACGAGGGACCCCCCCCCCGCCGCCCCCCGCCGTCGTTCGTGGAGTTGGGGTTGTGATCCCCGGAGCCTTGGCAGCCGTTCTGTGCCGGGAAAGCGAAGCCTGGTCCATCCTCACGTGCGGGCAGTGGAAGTGACCCGCAGGTGCACCCCGGACTCTGAATGTCGGCCTGTGGAGGCCACTGAGCCGGGGGTTTTCCTCCTGCCACAAGTCGGCAGATGCCCCTGACTGGGGGCCTAGCTTCCAGCCCCCTCCCAGCCACCAGAGGGCTTGGGGCGGTAAGGGGGAACCTCCCTGCCTAAGGAAAGGGGCGGGGGTTGTGAATGGCTGGATACAGCCATGCCTGAAGCTGGCCGCTAGCACAAACGTGGGCTCAGCCTCTGCCGCTGAATGGCCACAAGCCTCTGGTTTCCTGTTTTTAGGGGCCGACCCCAGACTTGCCGCAAAGGGGTCCCGCCAAGCCTTGCTCGTGGCTGTCACCCTCAGCCCCTCCCCGATGGCTTCCTGGGCACCGCCCCCACACCCCACCAAGCCTGGCAGAGGCCTTGCTCACAGCCCGGGCCTGGCCACTCCCCAGGCACACGCACGAGCAAGCCCACGTCCACAGAGCCAGGCCCGGCTTCTCCCTGAGGGGGTGGGCACAGAGGACCCAGGGGCCACGCCCCCCACGCCACCAGGCCTGTTTCCCCACCCCAGGGCAGGCTCCAGTACCCCCAGCGACCCGGTCAGTGGGCTGGGCAGGGCCCGGCCGCCAAGGCTCACTGCATGCCTGGGTCCTGACTCAGCCTGCTGCTGGCCAGCTGCCTGGGACAGCCTGGGGCCCCGCGGCCTGCAGCGCCCAGCCTGTGCTCCGGGCTCGGGGCGGGGGAAGGTTCTGGAAGGCTGGCCAGGGGCTCTCGAACCCTGAATCCCACCTCCCATTCCGGCTTCCTGCCTGGGACACAGGCCGTTCCCAGGAGGCCCTGTCACCCACCGGGGCACACCCGGATGGAGTCTGGCCGTGACGGTGTCCAGCCCGGTGGGCGTGTGGCCCTGGGAGATCTCATCAGCTCGCCAGCCTTGCAGTGGGAAGTGCCCCGGGCGAGGCTGGACACAGGGCTGGGCTGGGCGGGACAGGAGCCCACGGCCACTCAGCTCTGCCCTGCGCCAGCAGCCACTGCTCGCTGTCAGGGGCCGGAGTCCTGGGGTGCCAGGCTGGCTCCTGGGAACACACCCTACCCCTACACACGCGCACCAGGGCATCACTGAGGCACGGGGGATCCAGGAATGGGGCTGGGCGGAGGGCTTGCCCTCCTGGCCTGGTCTGAATGAATCCTTTTGGGCTGGAAACAATACCCCCTGGGGATGCGTCATGGGGTGGCAGGCAGCCAGGGTTACTGCCGGGGCGCGCCCCACCATGCCCACCCGGACGGGAGCTGCGTCCACGCTGCGCTCACAGGGCGGTGCCTGAAGGGGACAGCTGGACACTGTCCTGTCCTCACTGTCCCCCAGGGTCTTCTGGATGCACAGGGCAAGTGCCAAGATGGGGGCAGGCTGGAAGGGGTGGGGGGGCTCGGCCTCCTGGGGGTTTGCCTGCCCAGTGGGTGCTGTGACCCGTACTCCTTCCCCTCTGTCCGTTACATCAGTGTGGGAAGTCCCTGCCGACGGGGAACGGGGCGCTGACCCTGGGGGCTGGGGGGTTGGTCCCTGGCAGCTGCAGGGCAAGGCAGCCCGTCCCCTGTGCCCTCCCCTCCTGCCCACAGGCTCCAGGCTGGCTAGCCACAGACAGCTGGGTTTGCTCAGCAGGGATGGCAGCGGACACCTCAGGCTGGGGTGGGTGAGGGGCGGGAGCAGCTGCCTGCCCCTAGGAGCCAGCCGTGCCCAGCCTTGTGCCCGGGGTGGGGACTGGCCATCTGCCCCCCACGTGCACCCGACCTGCCCTGCCAGATGCCAGCAGCTCCCGTCCTCTGGGGACACCTGGCCCGGCCGGAGGACACTCCGGGACCGGGCGCCGTGGTGTCATTGCCCGGGCCCCACGCCATCCCCTCTGTCGCACAGTTGGGCATGCACTCGGGCCATGAAGCAATCATCGACCTTGTCCACTAACCCTGTCCACTCCCCGGGCGTTCTGGACGCTTCCCAAGCCAGGCCGCCGCGGGAGGAAGGGCGCTCGCGCCTCCCTGTGACCGCGGGAGGGATAGCAGCGTTCCCCAGGCAGGCACGGTCAGCGCTCTTTCTGCTGCCCCCAGCCCTGGGTGTCCCCCCAAGGTACCCCCAAGGAACTCTGGGCCTTGAGGGAGCAGGGTCCTGGGATCAGGAACCTGCCTGGCCCGGCGTGACCAGTCACGGGAGCTGGGGACATACGTGAACCCCGATTCTGCTCTGTCGGGGGGAGCCTGGGAGTTAGCCTGGTGGCAGTGGCAGACATTCACACCACCACCTCATCCTCTGGCTGGCTCCCCTGCTCGCCTGGCTTTGGGGAACCGGGGCGACACCTCCGGCTTGTTCGGGGTGTCACGGGCCAGCGTGGCTCCCAGCCTCACCCGGGGGGGGGGGGCTAGCACACACCTTCGCCCTGGGTGGCCGTGTGTCCGGCCGAGCCCGGGCTGTGTGCACCCACAGCAGTGGGTCTGTGACACGCAGGGACCACGTCCCCCACCCTCCCCAGCCCTGTGTGGGTCTCCCCTGTGGATGTCCTAATGAGTGCAGTGTGGCTCTCGCCTTGTGGCTTTTTTTTTTATTGTCAATTCGTTCCTGTATTTGAAGAGCAAGAGACATAGAGATCTTGCATCTTGCTGGCTCACTTTGAACCACAGCAGCGGCCGGGGACAGGGAGCCACAGCAGCAGCGGGGACAGGGAGCCACAGCAGCAGCGGGGACAGGGAGCCACAGCAGCAGCGGGGACAGGGGGCCAGGCCCCGCTGCCGCCTCAGCTGTGCGCACGCACAGGGACGCGGTGTGATGGCCGAGGAGCTAAATCCTCACCTTGCAGTGTCCCATATGGGGCCAGTTTATGTCCCAGCTGCTCCACTTCCCACCCAGCTCCCTGCCTCGGGACCCTGCGCCCGCGTGGGAGACCCGCAAGAGGCTCCCGGCTTCGGATCGGCTCAGCTCCGGCCATTGCGGCCACTTGGGGAGTGAAGCAGCAGATGGAAGATCTTCCTCTCTGTCTCCTCTGTAAATCTGCCTTCCCAAATTAGATAAATGAATCTTTGAGGAAGGAGAGGCTGGGACAGACGTTCCGGCCAGGGGGCCTGGAGTCGGGCAGTGCCTCGCCCCGCCGTGCCCGATGACGTGGCTGGCCCCAGGGACTTTGCTCCTGGAACTCCCGTGAATGCTGGTCGGCACGGGTGTGGTGAAACCCCAGGCTCACGGAGCAAGCCAGTCCCCGGGGGGCTGGGGGCCGCTGAAGGAAGGACGCCCACCAACGCCCCCGCGGGTGGGACCCGGTCATTTATCAGACAAGTCACCTTTCAGGCTGTAAAAATGTTCCGTAGAATGCTCTAAAAAGACATGGGTCCCCACCAGCAAGTCCACGCCACGCACGCACACCCCGCTTCCCCTACAAACACCGCCCCCCGCCCCCGGACACATGCAGCAGGAGCCGCCAGCATCTGCAAAAATAAATAGATCTTGTTTTTATAGATATGTACACGGGACAAGCGTCTCTCCAAAGTGCAAGACTCGACGGGGACGGCTTATGTACATGTGGGCTGGGGCGGTACAGTGTCGGCTTCTCTAAGCGTGAGGAGCGGCCGGTGTGGGCACGCCACGTGGGGCCGGGGCTGGAGTTCTGCTCGATGCAAAGCTGCAACGCCACGCACGGCCGGCCAGCCACGCCATCCGCCAGTCGGCGTTCCACAGGCAACAGTGCAAAATGAGAGTGCGTGCACAGCAGGCTCGGGCGGAGGCTGCACGTGCAAGGCAGCCGGATGTTCTCAGGCACTTCATGAACCATTAAGGGCTCCTGGTAGGGACTCAAGGGTCCCCTGGCTCCGAGGACACGAGAGGTGGACCTGAGGCTGACCCTGATGTGGCACGGGCGAGGTTAATGAAGGGCCGGCCCGCCTGGCCTCGGCCAACCCACTTCCGTCCAGGAAGTCCCCCGCCCGCCATGCGTCTCGGTGGGTGCCGGCGCCGCCTTCTGCCTCCCGAATAAATATATAACACACAGCCCGGGTGGGCAGGCAGCCGCGGACACTCAGGGTCAAGGGCGTGCAAACTGTCCTCCTGGCGCGCCGTGTCCAGTAGCGGTGGACAGGCCACGCAGCGTGGGCGTCTCAGGCCATGTCATCCTCCACGCTGACCATCTGCCGCTGTCGGACAGTGCAGCCATCAGGCCAGGGCTCGGTCAACACCATCGCCCGCGCCGGAGGCGGGGCTCTCCCGGGCGCCCCCCGCAGCCCACCTGGCCGTGCCCGCACTCACCGACGGGTACGTGTAACCCTCCTGGCTGCGGCAGATGTGCACCTCGTCCTCGGTGGTCTTCTGGTACACGGGGTTGTCGAAGTTGATGCTGTTGATGTTCCGCAGCCGCCAGTTCCTCCAGACCAGGAAGGCGCCGAAGCCCAGGAGGCCCAGCAGCGCTGCGCGGGGCGGGGGACGGGGTCAGGACGGTGCGGGCCAGCCGAGAACCCCGCTTCTGGGGTCACTGTGTCCCCTGCCAGCCCCGCCCGCGCCCGTGGGGACTGCAGAGCTGCGAGGGGCACTCACCGATGGGCAGGGCGATGGACAGAGCCCCCACGCGCCTAGGTCTCCCCTCGCTGCCTTGGCTGTCCACGTTGTTGAGGGCTGCGGACACGAGAGGGAGGGTCAGGGGAGGCGGACGGCCCCACTCCCGCCCAGAGGACACTGCACGCTCGGGGGCACGCCGCCCTCTGCTGGCCGTCTGTGCCAGCACAGTTCTTAGCAAGTGGCTTAGTGAATACACAGATGGCTGCGACAGGCAGGGACAGGATGGTAAGGACCAAGGCTGGACTGCAAGGAGAGGCGGTCAGGAGACCTAGCCAGTGCGTCAGATCCCACCCCAGGGGCTTGAAACGTCGCAGTTACTGCAGAATGAGTAATGACCCAGCCCTCCATGGACCAAGCTCTGCCTTGTCGAAGCCCTGGACCTGGCACAGGTTCCTGGCGGAGGCGGGGGGCTGTCCCACAGGCTGCGGACCCCGCTGGAGCTTCCTAAATCCCTGCGTGCCCTGCCACCCATGGGGGAGACCCAGATGGGGTGCCCAGCGCTCCCCACTGGGGGGGCTCTCCCTCTCTATTTTCAGTAAATACAGTTTTTAAAAACTGCTGCGGAAGCGACATCAGGCCCCCACCCCGCGGGCACTGGGCCCGTTTACAGAGTGGTAAGTTGAGGCTGTGAAAGGTACAACAGCTGGAATCAGAGCCGGGCAGCTGGGGCGGCCCAGGCCTTACCTTGCTGTGAGACGGTGACTGCCTGCGTGGTGCCGAGCCCACGGGAGGACGTGGGCCGCAGCGCAGTGGCGGCAGGCGGCCGGCTGCCCGGGCTCTGCGTTGGCCCCAGGGCCGTGGACCGGGCTGTCCCCAGGGGGGTGGTGGACATGGCAGCCGCAGCTTCTGCAAGAAACAGCAGGGTTGGCCCGGGCTCGGCAGGGAGACCCCGGCCTGGGGGGACCTCACGCGCCCACTAGACAGGTGAGGCAAAGAGAGGTGCGGCGGCAGGCGGGACAGGCCCGGCCGCACCTGTGACGCAGCTCCTCATGTCCTCGGCCAGGGCCATGCCATCCGGACAGGCGCAGGTGAACTTGGGCGAGTGGCCGTTGATCTGCGGAGCCGGCAGGCACAGGTACTGGCAGCCGCCGTAGGGGAGGGCCGTCATGTCGCACCAGTTGACGCCTGGGGAAGGACGACAGACGGGGTCACTGGGTAGGGAAGGAGGTTCTAGAGGTTCTAGAAGCTTCCAGGGCATCGCCGGGACGGGCGCGGGGCAGCGGGCAGGCGTGGGGCAGCAGCGCGTCTGGCCCTGCTCACCGCTCGGCTGTGTCACGTTGTGGAACAGCACGATGTCCTCCGGGGACAGCAGGTTCTCGGCCACCAGGTGGACGTCGGAGCCCGTGAGGCGGTTGGCGCTGAAAATGGCCTCGTTGATGACGTCGGTCCAGAACACTTTGTCCTGCGTGGGCAGGGCCGAGGAGACGCAGCAGTGCGGTTAGACGCCGCCCGAGCGCGAAGGGGCAGTGCCGACGAGGGTCAGGCTCCCCCAGGAGCGCCGGGCCCAGTCCCTTGCGGGAGAGCCGCGGAGGACGCCCTGCCACCCGCGTGGGAGAGCCCGATGCAGCTCCTGGCTCCTGTCTGAGGCCTCTCAGGCCTGGGCACCTTCTCAAGTGCGTCCTGGCCCCGACAGGCTACATGACCAGGGCCACACGGCAACCGGGCCTCACCTCGAAGATGGCCAAGGAGAAGGGGTGCGCCAGCCATTTCTCGTCTTCCAGCACCTTCTTCCGGTTACCCCCGTTGACGTCCACGCTGGAGATGGAGTGCAACTTGGAGTCCACCCAGTAGAGGCGGCCGCTGGAAAGATCTAGAAACACACGGGGAGTCATCCACGGATGCCAGAGGCCCGCAGGGGGACGCTGGGACCGACCACGAAGACGCCCAAAAAGAGAATCCCCCACTTGAAGGAAGGATAGCAGCAGAGAGAAGTTTCCAGAAACGCGCAGAAGGTTCTAGAAAAGCAGTTGTGTCCACTCGGGGCACCTACCCAGGGTGATGCCGTTGGGCCACTGGATGTCTTCGGTCACTAGCGAGTAGATGTCCACACCATTCAGGCCCCCTTTCTGGATCTTGGCGGGGGTCCCCCAATCCGTCCAGTACATGAAGCTGGCAGGGGAAAGGGGAGGGATCTGTTGGGATGACGGTCGGAGCTGGGAGCCTGCAGCTCCGTGTGGGTCTCCCCGGAAGTTCCCACGGTCACGTGCGAGAGCTCGTATGGTGGCGTAGCCGTTAAGGCCCCCATCCGCAGTGCCAGCATCCCATGCGGGCGCCGGGTCCCGTCTTGGTTGCTCAGCTTCCCACCCAGCTCCCTGCTCATGTGCCTGGGAAGGCCGCAGAGGACGGCCTGGGTAACGGGTCCCTGAAACTAATGTGGGAGACCAGGAAGGCTCCCGGCTTCGGCCTGGAGTGACCAGCGGACGGAAGATTCTCCCTCCTTCCCTCCCTCTCCTTCCGACTGGGTACAGGTCTGCCAACAGTGTCACCGCGCGGGTGGCTCCTGCCTGCCTCAGCTTCCCCACATGCGCTCCGCACCCCATCACCTACCCGTGCACGGGGTCCACCACGATGTCCCTGGGCTTGGAACCTTCCTGCCGCAGCAGCGTCTTCCTCCTGAAGCCCCGCGTGTCGGCCACGGACACGGCGCCCAGCACGGAGTCGGTCCAGTAGATGTTGCCGTGGATCCAGTCCACGGCCAGCCCGTCGGGGGCCTGCAGGTCCCCGCTGATGACCGTGTCGTAGGCGTGGAAGCCTTGCGCCTTGTCCATCTGGGCGCTGAGGCGAGGAGGGGGGTCAGGTGTGTGTCGTCCTCGTGGCTGTCCCCCTCCCCGGCGCCGGCACCGTCCCCACCTGTAGATCTGGCGCTGGGACAGGTCTGACCAGTAGACTCTGTTGCTGGCCACCTCGGTGTCCAGGGCCACCACGTTCTTGAGGTTGGCGATGAGGCTGGTGTACTCGCTGCGGTCTAGCGTCATCTTCCTCACCTCGTGCCGGTTGGTAAACAAGAGGTAGGCGATGGACCCTGGGGTCGGAGGTGGGGGACGCGTCACGGAGAGGAAGGGGACCCAGCCTGTGACCTCAGACACACCCGCCGGGAGGGCGGACTCTGGACGTGCCAACGCCCGCAGTCACAAGTGGCCCCAGTGCAGGGTCGGGCCACGACTCCGCTGACCCCGTGCCTCCGGGGCTGGGGGTGCAGGAAGGGGCAGCAGCCCCCCCCAGGGACCTCCGCTGATGGCCACAGCCAGTATTTGGGGTCCCTACTGCCTATGTGAGACATGGAGGGCACTGCCAGGAACCGAGGTGGCGGAAGCTTACTGGTGCTGCTAACCGCCCCCCGGGTCACCTACCAGGGCCGGAGGGGCCTTGGTCCCCAGCAAGCAGCCGGCCCGGTGACGTCAGGCCGTGCAAGGGGCAGGTGGCGGGAGGCCCGGGGCTGCCCTGGCACTCACCCACGGCCTTGCAGGATCCGCTGTAGGGGTCCACCCGGAAGCCAGCCTCACACTCGCACTTGTAGCTGCCCGGCAGGTTCACGCAGAGCTGGCTGCACGCGCTGGGGTCCTCGCACTCGTCAATATCTACGAGACACAGAGGAGATTTTTTTAACAACCAGGAAGGAGCCATGTCTGTGCCCCGCTGGGCTGCGTGGAGCCCGTTTGCAATGCCCACCAAGCCGATGGGGGGGGACACCAAGGCACAGCGCAGACTCACCCTCGCAGTGCCGCTGGCCCACCAGGCGGAAGCCGTCGGGACACAGACACTCGTGGCCGAGCTTGAGGTCGTTGCAGATGTGGGAGCAGCCGCCGTTGTGGTCCAGGCACTCGTTGGTCGCTGCACCAGGCGGTGGGGGCGGACACAGAGCGGTCACTCTCCTCCGAGGAAGATGGGGTGTCACCAGGTAGGGCCCCCCGCAAGCTCCCGCGCCCCGGGGTCTCACCGCACTCTTTGATGGGCTCGTCCGACCAGTCCCGGCAGTCCCTGACCGAGTCGCACACCCTGTCTGCCGAGATGCACTCCCCGCTGTGGCACTTGAACTTGCCGGGCCCTTCACACCGCGTCACTGCAAAGGCCCAAAGGCAGCGGTGACCAGGCGGCCCACCCGGCCACTCACTGGGAACCCACGGCCACCACCCGCCCTGCACGTCACCCAGGCCAGGGTCCGGCAATCGCGGCCTGCTGGTCGTGGATTCCAATAAAGTGTTCCTGGCACACGCCCCTGGACTTCCAGAAGGTGGCGGCTACCTTCTCCCCGGAGACAAACTGTTTACTAAGCTCGGGGTTATGAGCGCCCCACCCTCCCCACAGCCTGAAGTAATTACTCGCTAGCTCCATGCACTAAACGCCGTCCACAGCGGCCAGCAGCACGGGACAGCAAGTTAAGCCAGCCCCGGCCAAGCAAGGGCGCAGGTTCAAGCCCGGGTCGCTCCGCTTCCCATCCAACTCCCCGCTCAGGTGTCTGGGAAAAGCCGCAGCTATGGCCGCCTGCACGGGAGACCCAGACGGAGCTCCTGGCTCCTGGCTGCACCTCTGTTGGGGGTGCATGCGGGGAGTGAACCAGCAGACGGCAGCTCTGTCTCGCTCTGGTGGTCCAGAGCCTGGGACATGCCCCGCAGAGGCAGGCGGCCCGGGCGGACACTCACCGTTCACGCAGCCAACCTCGTCGCTCAGGTCCTTGCAGTCATATGCCTGGTCACACTGGCGGCTGCCATGGACACACGTCCCATCTGAGCACTGGAACTCGTCGGGGCGGCATGTGGGCACGGCTAGAGGGGGCACACAAGGTGATACTGTCAGGCACAGAACGACTCCACGGAACCTTCCAGAAGACGGGCAATTTGTAAGTTCAAAGCTCGCATGCCACTCTTTTCTTTTTGGTGTAGGGGACGTGGTCCTGCTGTGTCCTGCCCGGGACCTGAACTGTCGGTCAGCTTGGCATTGTTTTGCCCTGTGTGTGCTGCCCGCCTGCTATCAACCACCTCGGCCTGCACTGCCTGAACACCACGGGCCGTTAGTGTGGTGCGCGGTGGGGGCACAGCGGGGACCCTGCCTGCGTCAGCGTGGAGTCCCGGCTGCCCCACTTCCCACCCAGCTCCCTGCCTGTGCCTGGGAAAGCAGTGGAGGACGGCCCACAGCCTGGGGACCCTGCACCCACGTGGGAGACCCGGGAGAGGCTCCTGGCTTCAGATCAACTCAGTTCCAACTGTTGTGGCCACTTGGGAAGTGAACCAGCAGATGGAAATCTTTCTTTCTGTCTCTCCATTTTTTTTTGTAAATCTGACTTTCCAATAAAATAAATCTTTTTTTTAAAATTAGTAAATTAAAAAAAAAAGTTTTACCCTCTAATATTTCACTGGGCAGGGTTTAAGTGCCCAGGGAGGCTGACTGGGCAGAGTGACCTGGGGTCCCCAGGACCGAACCCTCAAAGCCCCACGCAAGAAGAGCGTGAGCGAGCAGGGGACACGAGTGGTTGCCTGTCACAAGACAATGGCGAAACACTGCCCAGGGCCCGCCCCCGGACTTTGCACCTGCTGAAGCGCCCAGCCAAAATACACCTCTTGGGTCAGGCCAAAGTCGGGGACTCCTGCCAGGTCTCCCACGTGAGGGCGCGGACCCAAGCGCGAGCGGAGGGGCCGCCCTCACCCTGTTGCCAGGAGCATGTAGCGGGCAGCTGGACAGCAAATAAGCTGGGACTCAAACCAGCAACCTTCAGGCACGCTGGGGTGGCACGGTCGTGCAGCTCACGCCCTCCCCCAGCCGGTGCCTGGCAGGGTCTGCGTGGCCGCGGGGAAACGCGCCATCCCGGGCTCGCCTACCGCAGTCCCGCTCGTCGGAGCCGTCCTTGCAGTCCGTGTCGTGGTCGCAGCGCCAGCTGGCGTGGATGCACTCGCCGCTGCCGCAGTGGAACTCCAGGGCGGAGCAGGGGCCGCCGACCGGCCTGGCCATCGTGTCGCGGCCCCCGCAGCGCTGCGGCCACTCGTCCGAGCCGTCGGGGCAGTCGGGGTCGCCGTCGCAGGCCCACAGCTCGGGGATGCACGTGGAGCTGTTGCACTGGAACTGGGCAGGGCCGCACGTGGACACCGGGCAGGCCGCCTCGTCTGAGCCGTCGGGGCAGTCACGGTCCCCGTCGCAGGCGAACGTCCGGGAGAGACACTTGCCATCGCCACAGCGGAAGTCGTCCTGCGAGCACGTCCTGGGGGCTGTGGGCACGCGGATGCCAGGGGTCAGCTGGGGGCTGTGGGCACGTGGATGCCAGGGGTCAGCTAGGAGCTGCGTCCCCGTCGGATGCCGGGGTCAGCAGAGAGCTGGGTCCCCTTCGGATGCCAGGGGTCAGCTGGGAGCTGGGTCCCCGTCGGATGGGAGCTGCGTCCCCGTCGGATGTCGGGGTCAGCTGGGAGCTGGGTCCCCGTCGGATGGGAGCTGCGTCCCCGTCGGATGCCAGGGTCGGCTGGGAGCTGGGTCCCCGTCGGATGCCGGGGTCGGCTGGGAGCTGGGTGCCCGTCGGATGCCAGGGGTCAGCTGGGAGCTGGGTGCCCGTCGGATGCCAGGGTCGGCTGGGAGCTGGGTCCCCGTCGGATGGGAGCTGGGTCCCCGTCGCAGCAGCCCTCCGCACCGCACCGCGCCGCAGCCCCAGGGCCCCCATGCTTACCACAGCCCAGCTCGTCGGAGCCGTTCTCACAGTCCACTTGCCCGTCGCATCTCCAGGACTGAGGGATGCAACGATTGAGGCGGCCACCGCAGCTGAAGTCCTCGGGCTTGCAGGTCACCGAGGCTATGCGACAGACGGGCCGGGGGGGCATGCGTAAGACCAGCGTCCTCCCCTTGCCAAAGCAAAAGCCCTCTCCCAGAAGTGGGGTGCCGGAGTGCCGAGCCCCGCTCAGGTCCCAGTGGTCCCAGCTTCCTGGGCTCGTGCGCACGCCCTGTGTGGCCGCAGCGGAGGGCACGGAGGGCACCGAGTGCCCGGTGAGGGGCACCCGGACGAAGCGCCTCCCCCAGCAGCTGTGTGCGTCAGGGACGGGCATACACGGGTCCGGGCAGGCTGGCCATCATCCCGCCGGCCGCTCGGGAGCGGGGCTGGGGACACTCACCACAGGTGGCCTGGGACTCGTCCGAGCCGTCGGGGCACTCGGAGCTGCCGTCGCACACCCACCGGAAGGAGATGCACGCGCCACTCTGGCACCGGAACTGCCCCCTGCCACAGACGTGCCCTCCTGCCGGAGACGACGAGGTGAGCGGGGCCACGCGGCCCGTGACCTCCCACAGCACGCCAGGTCCAGTCCCAGCTGCTGCTGCACTCTGGGCCGGCCCGCCCTGCTGTGGGCACCCGGGGCAGCAGGGGACGGCCCGGTGGGCACCCGGCGCAGCAGGGGACGGCCCGGTGGGCACCCGGCGCAGCAGGGGGCGGCCCGGTGGGCACCCGGGGCAGCAGTGGAGGACGGCCCAAAGCCTTGGGACCCTGCACCCGCGTGGGAGACCCGGGGGAGACTCCCGGCTCCTGGCTTCGGGTCGGCTCAGCTCCGGCCGTTGCGGTCATTTAGATGGCAGCTCGTCCTCTGCCGCTCCACTCTGTGCACTTGCCCCCGGCTTCCCCAGCCCGGCGGGGCTCCATCCGGGTCTCCCCCGGGGGTGGCAGGGCCGGCCAAGGTGACCAGACCGCCCCGCAGCCTCAGGCCGGCGTCGCCCCAGCGCCAGGTCACCATGGCAACGGCCAGCGGCGCTGTGGGTGCCGCCGGCGCGCCTGCCCCACCCGTAAAGCGGCGCTGCCGTAAAGCGGCGCTGTCGTGGAGCGAGCGGGGCGGCCACGGGCGGCCCTCGCGCATGCGCCCACGCACAGCGGCCTGGGCGCCATGACAGGACGCCGAGCCTGCGGCCTGTCCAGCCCTGCACCCCGGGCCCTCTTGACCCCACGACCCTGGGACCCCCGGGGCCTGCACCCGTGACCCAGGACCCCTGCACCCCGGGACCCCAGAACCTCGGGACCTCAGGACCCCGGGACCCCAGAACCTCGGGACCTCAGGACCCCGGGACACCAGAACCCCGGGACCTCAGGACCCCGGGACCCCAGAACCCCGGGACCTCAGGACCCCGGGACCCCAGAACCTCGGGACCTCAGGACCCCGGGACCCCAGAACCTCGGGACCTCAGGACCCCGGGACCCCAGAACCTCGGGACCTCAGGACCCCGGGACCCCAGAACCTCGGGACCTCAGGACCCGCGGGACCCCAGAACCTCGGGACCTCAGGACCCCGGGACCCCAGAACCTCGGGACCTCAGGACCCCGGGACCCCAGAACCTCGGGACCTCAGGACCCCGGGACACCAGAACCTCGGGACTTAAGGACCCCGGGACCCCAGAACCTCGGGACCTCAGGACCCCGGGACCCCAGAACCTCGGGACCTCAGGACCCCGGGACCCCAGAACCTCGGGACCTCAGGACCCCGGGACCCCAGAACCTCGGGACCTCAGGACCCCGGGACCCCAGAACCTCGGGACCTCAGGACCGCGGGACCCCAGAACCTCGGGACTTAAGGACCCCGGGTCCCCAGAACCTCGGGACCTCAGGACCCCGGGACCCCAGAACCTCGGGACTTAAGGACCCCGGGACACCAGAACCTCGGGACTTAAGGACCCCGGGACCCCAGAACCTCGGGACCTCAGGACTCCGGGACCCCAGAACCTCGGGACCCCAGAACCTCGGGACCTCACTACCCTGGGGCTTAAGGACCCCTGCACCCCTGGACCCAGAACTTCAGGGACCCCTGGACCCCGTACCCCACGACCCCAGAACCCCAGACCCTGCGACCCCAGGACCCCGGGACCCGGCACGGTGAGTGCAGCCAGGCTCTGCAGCCGGAAGCAGAATTGGGGGGCTGGTCACAGGGGCGGGCAGTGCGTGCGCAGCGCCCGGCGTGGCCGTTGCCATGGTGACCGGCGCCCGGAGAGCAGGGATGGGGTGCGCGTGTTTGCGGGCCGGCGGCGGGGCTCTGGTTTCGTGGTGTGGACTGGTCCGGGGTGCTGTGGTGACCCGCTTCTGGGTGGACGATGTGTGGGCGAACCCCGAGGCCCTGGCACCCCCCAACCCCGGGCCGGTGTGGAACCCCAGGCAGAGGGTCCGGGGGTCGGTGTTGGACAAACGCCCCATTCTGGAGACTGCGTGAGCCGCGGGTGGTTGGCACTCAGTACGTACACCTGTGGGCAGCCCGGCCTGGGTGTGTGCAGGTGTGCGGGGTGTGCGGGGTGTGTGCGGGTGTGCGGGGTGTGTGCGGGGTGTGTGCGGGGTGTGTGGGGTGTGTGCGGGTGTGCGGGGTGTGTGCAGGTGTGCGGGGTGTGTGCAGGTGTGCGGGGTGTGAGTTGGGGTGTGTTGGTAGTATGTGTTGTGTGTTGTGTGTTGGGATGTGTGTTGTGTGTTGGGGTTTGGGGTGTGTGTTGGTGTGGGGTGTGTGATGTGTGTTGTGTGGTGGGGTGTGTGTTGTGTGGTGGGGTGTGTGTTGGTGTGTGGTGTGTGTTGGTGGTATGGGGTGTGTGTTGTGTGGTGGGGTGTGTGTTGGTGTGGGGTGTGTGTTGTGTGTTGGTGGTATGTGTTGTGTGTTGGTGTGTGGTGTGTGTTGGTGGTATGGGGTGTGTGTTGTGTGGTGGGGTGTGTGTTGGTGTGGGGTGTGCGTTAGTTGGTGGTGTGTTGTGTGTTGGGGTGTGTGTGGTGTACTGGGGTGTGTGTTGTGGTTTGGTGGTATGGGGTGTGTGTTGGTGTGGGGTGTGCGTTTGTTGGTGGTGTGGTGTGTGTTGGGGTGTGTGTGTGTTGTGTGTTGGGGTGGGGTGTGTGGTGTGTGTTGTGGGTTGGTGGTATGGGGTGTGTGTTGTGTGTTGGGATGTGTGTGGTGTGTGTGGTGTATTGGGGTGTGTGTGGTGTGTTGGGGTGTGTGGTGTGTTGGGGTCAGCCCGCCCGCTGTGAGAGCTGACATGCTAGAGCCCCGGGCCCGCTGTCCAGGCCACGTTCTGGGGACGCCTCTCGGGCCCTGCCAGCCACAGGGGGGACCCAGGGACGGGCGTCGCATGGGTGGGGTCCATCGCGGGATCTCCAACCCCAGCGAGTGCTGACCTGCTCAGTTCCTGGGGCCCCTGGCACCCCCAAAATGGAGTGTCTGCATAGAGCTCAGCTCCTGGCTTAGACCTGTTCCCCTTCCCCCTGGGAATTTGGGGAACCAAGCAGGGAATGAAAGATCTTTCAAATTATAGATGAAAAAAAAGTCAAAATTACGTAAGTGCCCAGATGGCCCGGAAGTGTGGGCACCGCGGGCACGCCTGAGTTGCCACCAACAAGCCTCACTTCTGCTTTCCCCGAAATCCAGTGGTCACAGGCCTGGGAAGTGGGGGACCCGCACCCCACCCCTATAGGGCTGGGATCAAGGTCCCAAAACCCACAGCCAACAATGGCCCCAGGCAGGCCAGCCCAGCTGGGGGCCTGGGGTCCCTGCACCCCAGGGCTCAGGACCCCGGGAATGGGGTGGCGCCGGGTCCAAAGCAGCCTGGCTGCCCTGGCAGCGTGGGCAGGGCAGCGTGGGCAGGGCAGGGTGGCCTCCAGGTACCTCAAGGCCCTGGGCAGAGCAGGGCAGTGCAGGGCGAGCAGGGCAGTGCAGGTTGGGCAGTGCAGGGTGGCCCTGGCACCTCGTGGCCCTGGAGGGCAAGCAGGGCAGGGCAGGGCGGGCAGGGTGAGCAGGGCAGGGCGGGCAGGGCGGGCAGTGCAGGGCGAGCAGGGCAGTGCAGTGCAGGGCGAGCAGGGCAGTGCAGGGTGGGCAGTGCAGGTTGGGCAGTGCAGGGCGGGCAGGGCGAGCAGGGCAGTGCAGGGTGGGCAGTGCAGGGCAGGGCAGGGCGAGCAGGGCAGTGCAGGGTGGGCAGTGCAGGGTGGCCCTGGAGGGCGAGCAGGGCAGTGCAGGGTGGGCAGTGCAGGGCAGGGCAGGGCGGGCAGGGCGAGCAGGGCAGGCAGGGCAGTGCAGGGTGGGCAGTGCAGGGTGGCCCTGGAGGGCGAGCAGGGCAGGGCGGGCAGGGCGAGCAGGGCAGGCAGGGCAGTGCAGGGTGGGCAGTGCAGGGTGGCCCTGGAGGGCGAGCAGTGCAGGGCGAGCAGGGCAGTGCAGTGCAGGGTGGGCAGTGCAGGGCAGGGCAGGGCGGGCAGGGCGAGCAGGGCAGGCGAGCAGGGCGGCCCTGGCACCTCGTGGCCCCGGGGTCCTTTGTGGCCGCAGCCCGGGTGGACACCAGACCCGCACTCCCGCCTGGCCACTTCCGTGGAGGTCCCGCCCCAATCCGCGCGCCTCGGCCTCCCATTGGGCGAGGGGAGTGGCTCGAGGCTCGCCTGTTCGGAGCGCGGCCAATGGGGACTCGGGGGCGGGCCTGAGGGGCGGGGCCTGAGGTGGATGCGTCCATGCCGGCACAAAGCCGCAGAGTCCAGCTCGGGTGCTGCCCACTTCCGGGGAGCCCAGGGAGCCGGGTGACCACAATCCCTGAGGGAGGGACTGTGGGGCCACACCCCGCGGCTCCCGGGGTCCCTCACTGTGTCCCTGCACCCCGCGGCTCCCGGTCCCTCACTGTGTCCCTGCACCCCGCGGCTCCCGGTCCCTCACTGTGTCCCTGCACCCCGCGGCTCCCGGGGTCCCCTGGCTGGGTGTCCCTGCACCCCGCGGCTCCCGGGGTCCCTCACTGTGTCCCTGCACCCCGCGGCTCCCGGGGTCCCCTGGCTGGGTGTCCCTGCACCCCTGCACCCCGCGGCTCCCGGGGTCCCTCACTGTGTCCCTGCACCCCGCGGCTCCCGGGGTCCCTCACTGTGTCCCAGCGCCCCCCCACATCCACGTAACTCGCACCATCCCGCCCTGTAAGCACCGCATGCCCCCTGCCCCCCAAGATCTCAGAGCCCGCCCGTCCACACCAACCGCGAAAGGAAGTGACCAGTGGCCGGGCGCCCAGGACTTACCCGCCGCCCCGGCGGTGGCCAGGAGCAGGGCGAGGACGCAGCGCGCTGCCCGCATGTCCGCCTGGCACCCGAGCCTGGAAGCAGCGAGCCCGGGACGCACGCGGGGCTTTGAGCGGAGGTTTGGCCGGGGCGGAGCTCCAGTGGGGTGATTTTCCAAAGCCTGCGCCTCCCAGGCCGGGGAGGAGCCTGGAGCGGCCGGCTTAACCCCTGCCGGGCCGGGCCTGCGCGCCGCAGCTCCTTCCTTCCCTTCCCGGAGGGTTGGCGGTGCCCCCGCCCGTCCCGCGGTCAGCCTTCCGCCCTCCGCGGGCCTTGGCCGCCAGTCCACGCAAGGACACGTGTAGGTTGCAGCCCAGCCTGCTCCCCCGGCACACACAGTGATGCCAGCTTGGGGCACACGGGGTCTGGGCCAGGAGCTGAGCAGAGACGTGACCCCAGGGTCTGCTGGAGGGCTGGGGCAGCCAGGGCCTGGGCGTCTGCGGGTGGCCAGGTGGCTGTGCCCCCTTGGCAGGTCCCAGAGAGGGCCACGGCAGGAGGGCCACGGCAGGAGGGCCACGGCAGGAGGGCCACGCGGCCCCGGGGGGGCGGGCTTGGTGTTGCCTTCCTCGTGTTTTGTTTCTTAGATTGGTTTTGACGTGAAGGGCAGATGTAAGAGGGAGACAAAGATCTTCCACCCGAAGGTTCCCTCCCCAAGTGGCCGCAACAGCCAGAGCTGTGCCCGCCAGGAGCCAGGAGCCTCTCCCGGGTCTCCCACATGGGTGCAGGTCCCAAGGCTGTGGGCCGTCCCCCACTGCTTTCCCAGGCCACAGGCAGGGAGCTGGGTGGAAGTGGAGCAGCAGGGATTAGAACCTGCACCTGCCTGCATTGACCCCAAGGCTCGCCCCGGGCAGTCTGGTTTATGACAGTAAAGCATCGGCAGCGGGCCCTCCTGCCCCGCCGTCTGCCCCGGGCTGCCCTTTGGGCCTGACGTCAGCAGAGAGGCCTGCGGGCTCGCCCGCGCGGGGGACACTGCAGAACCAGCTCGGCCCAGGCTCAGGTCACGGCCGCAGCGGCCACGTGTGGGGGCGGCCCCGGCGTGTGTCGCCCAAACCTGCTCCGGTAGAGCCGGACAGGGAGGGATGGCGGGCGGCGTGCAGAGGCAGCGGCTCGGCTCGGAGCTGCCCCGCGGGGAGAGCCCGGCGCCCCAGGCCGGCCCTCGGCCGCTGGCCCATCCCTGCAGCCGGCCGTGCCGGGGGCCTCGCTGATAAATCAGTAACTGAGGGCAATGGAGTGAAGAGATGGGCTTCTGGGTCTGGCGCGGTGGCACAAGCCAGGATCCCCTGTGGGCACTGGTTCTAATCCCGGCTGCTCCACTTCCCACGCAGCGCCCTGCCTGTGGCCTGGGGAAGCAGCCGAGGACGGCCCACAGCCTGGGGACCCTGTGGGAGACCCGGAGAGGCTCCCGGCTTGGGCTCAGCTCTGGCCGCTGCGGCCACTTGGGGAGAGTCACCGGACGAAGATCTGCACTCCGGTCCTGCTGCTCTGGCCTTTGGGGAACGACCAGAGAGGGGAGTTCTCCCTCAGCCCTCCCTCCCTTCCCTCTCTGCCTTTCACATAAGTAAATAATCTTTTTTTTTTAATAAAAATTTAATTTTTACTGGAAGGATACAGAGAGGAGGAGACGGAAGGACCCTGTGTGCCCTGGCTCACTCCCCAAGCGGCCACAGTGGCCGGAGCTGAGCTGAGCCAGGAGCCAGGAGCCTCTCCGGGTCTCCCGCGCGGGTGCAGGGTCCCCAGGCTGTGGGCCGTCCTCGGCTGCTTCCCCAGGCCACAGGCAGGGCGCTGCGTGGGAAGCAGGGCCTGCGGCTCTGCAGACTCTGACTTTGAGATAAAGAATCTCTGGCAGGTGCCGCGATCCCAAAGCAAGCCAGAGGAAGGCAGGCAGCACCAAGTGGCCTGCACTCGCTCCCCGCGGCCCCCTGGCCGACCTTGGCCGTGCGGCTTCTCCGCGTCACGGGGACGAGGCCGTGAGTCAGCCCCGCAGTGGTCAAGGGCACCGGGCCTGCACCTCTGCCCCTGCCCTTGGCCTTGGCCTGGCGGGGACCCCAGGCTGGGGCCTCAACCCCTGTGGGCACAGCACTGCCCTCCTCCTCAGTGTAAGACACTTATTGAATTATTTAGGTTTTAATATGTTTTAAGATTTGTTTTCTATTGGGAAGTGAGATACACAGAGAAGATGGGACCATCTCCACCCACTGGTTCACTCGCCCAGCGGCTGCAACGGCTGGAACTGAGCTGAGCTGAGCCAGGAGCCAGGAGCCTCTCCCGGGTCTCCCACCGGGTGCAGGTCCCCAGGCTGTGGGCTGTCCCCCACTGCTCCCCCAGGCCACAGGCAGGGAGCTGGGTGGGATGTGGGATCGCGAGAATACGAACTGCTGCCATATAATGGGGAATCTGGTGTGCTCAAGGGGAGCACTTTTAGCTGCTACGCTACCGTGTCAGGCCCTTCTCTTTTAAAAATGTTTTATTTTCACCTGATTGAAAGGCAGAGCAAGACCAAGAAGGTGAGTTCAGTCCCAGCTGCCCCGCTGTTCCCCCAGGTGCCCGCAGCCGGTGGGGTCAGGAGCAGCCGTGTCCCCCCATCTGTGTTAGCTGAGCCGCCCCGGCCGCGCCCACCCTCTGCTGGAGCCCCCGGTGCCCGGCCAGCCAGTGTGGGGCCGCGGGCGGTGGGCACAGGGCCTGCTCAGTGCCCGGGGGCGGGCGAGCGGCTGACAGGAGCCGCACTGGGCACGCAGCGTGAGCCGGCCGGTTCTCTGCTGCTTCACAGTGGGGCGCCCCCGGCCAGAGCTGGGTGGGTGTGCGCCCCGCGTGGGTGCACCTGTGGCTCAGGGCCGGGGTGTGGGTGCGCCTGCGGCTCAGGGCCGGGGTGTGGGTGCGCCTGCGGCTCAGGGCCGGGGTGTGGGTGCGCCCCGTGTCGCCTGACTCTGCAACGTGGAGTGGGTCATCTCGGTGACAGCAGCAACGTGAAAACAGGAGCTGCGCCGTGTGGTGGCCCGTGCAAGCAGGCCTCTGCCCACAGGGCCGGGTCCCATCGGGCGCAGGTTCTAATCCCGGCAGCGCAGCTGCGCACCTGCTCCCTGCCCGTGCCCTGAGAGCCGAGGAGGCCGCAGCCCGAGGCCCTGCGGTGCCGGTGGGTTCGAGTCCGGCAGGTGGGCAGGCGGGCAGGCGGGCAGGTGGGCAGGTGGGCAGGCGGGCAGGCGGGCAGGCGGGCAGGGTGCACGTGCATGGCCGCGGGCTGCGGGGTCCTGTGCTGGCCCCACGCTCCCGGGGCGGACGGAGCTGTGAGCGCCCCGAGAGCCCCGGGGACGAGCCGGGCGTGGTCCTGCTCGCCGTTCGGGGTGCAGCTCTACCTTCCTGCCCCCACTGTGCTCCGGGGGCTTTTCTTGGGGCCCCCGTCAGAACCCCGAGGGGCGGGGCCCTGCGCGCATGCGTGGCCGTGGCTGTCCGGGCGGCAGCCGGGGTCTGGGGGTCGGGGGGCTCGCGGCCCCCAAGGCTGTCGTGCCTGGCCCTGTGTGGGGGCTCAGTGCGGCCGGCGCGCCCCCCAGCACCCAGGCCCGGGGGAGGGTGCGCGGTCAGGAGAGGCGGACACGGCTGGTCGTGGATTAATTTATTACTGCTTGACATCCAGTGACAGCCCACGCCGCGGGGACAGATCCACGCGGTCCCCAGGCCCCCCGTCCGCTCCCGCCGCGTCCGTGCGCTCAGTCCTCGCCGTCAGTCCTCCTCGCTGCCGCTCCCGGAGCGATCCTGCGGGACGGGGGCTCGTGAGGCCGCGTGCCCCCCAACATCGCACCCCGCGGTGCCGCGCGGGCCCGTCCCCGGGGTGGGGGGTGTGTGGGATGTGTGTGGGGTGTGTGCAGTGTGTACGCGGGGTGGGGTGGAGTGTGTGGGGTGTATGTGGGGTGGTGTGGGGCAGCGTGTGGAGTGTGTGTGTGGGGTGCGTGCAGTGTGTACGTGGGGTGGGGTGTGTGTGGGATGTATGTGGGGTGCAGTGTGGGGTGTGTGCCCCGCAGGCCCCGTCCCCGGGGTGGGGTGGAGTGTGTGTGGGGTGCGTGCAGTGTGTGTGTGTGGGGTGGAGTGTGTGTTTGGGGTGTATGCGGGGTGCAGTGTGTGTGCAGTGTGGCGTGTGGGGTGGGGTGTGTGTTTGGGGTGTAGGGTGTATGTGGTGTGTGTGGGGGGTGTGTGCAGTGTGTGTGGGGTGCAGTGTGTGTGTGGGGTGTATGCGGGGTGCAGTGTGGGGTGTAGGGTGTATGTGGAGTGTGTGTGGGGCGCAGTGTGTGTGTGGGGTGCAGTGTGTATGTGGAGTGTGTGTATGTGGGGTGTGTGGGGTGTATGCGGGGTGCAGTGTGGGGTGTGTGGGGTGTAGGGTGTATGTGGAGTGTGTGTGGGGTGGGGTGTGTGTGTGGGGTGCAGTGTGTGTGTGTGGGGCGCAGTGTGTGTATGTGGGGTGTGTGCAGTGTGTGTGTGGGGCGCAGTGTGTGTGTGGGGCGCAGTGTGTGTGTGGGGTGTAGGGTGTATGTGGAGTGTGTGTATGTGGGGTGCAGTGTGTGTGGGGTGCAGTGTGTGTTTGGGGTGTATGCGGGGTGCAGTGTGGGGTGTGTGGGGTGTAGGGTGTATGTGGAGTGTGTGTGGGGCGCAGTGTGTGTGTGGGGCGCAGTGTGTGTGTGGGGCGCAGTGTGTGTGTGGGGCGCAGTGTGTGTGGGGCGCAGTGTGTGTGGGGTGGGGTGTGTGGGGTGTAGGGTGTATGTGGAGTGTGTGTGGGGTGCAGTGTGTGGGGTGCAGTGTGTGTGTGGGGCGCAGTGTGTGTGGGGCGCAGTGTGTGTGTGGGGCGCAGTGTGTGTGTGTGGGGTGCAGTGTGTGTATGTGGGGTGCAGTGTGCGTGTGGGGTGCACGCGGGGCCGCCCCGTCCCTCACCTCCTCCTGCTCCTCGTCGCTGTCCTCGTCACTGACCACGGGCTTGGCCCTCGAGCCCCGGCCCGGCCTCCGCCGCGCGCCCTTGAGCCGCTCCTGCGCCTTCTCCTTGCGGCCCAGCTTGATCTTGACCTTGAC